TGATTTCACTTGCAGCGATGATAAAAAGAAATACATGATATAAGATGCGGGGTATAAAAATAAGAAGCGTAAATTTTCTCTCGTACGTAACCGCGATAAACAGCTCCGCTCTTGACGGTCACTCATTACAGAGCTCGTTTAATAATGTTGCTCTCGCCGTTAACCTCGTAAACGACGGCAACAGTGCGTCCGTACTACGGGGACACGAAACTCGTTCAAACATGTTTGCGGTAGACGCGTGTCGCGCGACGAGAGCGATAATGCTTCTTCCCGCCGCGATAATTGCCTCCATAATTAAGGCGCTTCATTAATCGCTGAAGGCCTTAAACTTTGAACATTTCTTCTTTCCCGAGGCTGATTCTTATGCTAATCAAATGCTCGGGTCTCGATCGAATGAATCATTTCCCGAATACCTATCTCGCGTGAATTCGAATCTGATAAAAATTACGCAAATTAATATAACGCAATCGCAAAAACACTTTCCGAAACGTTCGGAATAAATTTCACTTATGTCATCGATGCGGATCGCACGGTCCGGCGTGCCGTAAGCATTAGAGTGATCTGAGAATGGGAATTAGAGTCAAGCGCTTTTGCATTTCCATCCAGTATCTCTGAATGCTAAATCAGAAGCTTTAAATCATAATGACGGTGGATGGGCATGCTTGTTACCACCATAGATATGCATATACGCACAGAATAAGGAGCCTCTGTTGGCGTTAGAATTCCGCGAAAGCCGACAAATGAAGATATAGCGTACTTCGCCCAGTTGCGAGCACGATATATAATTTATATATACGCGGGTGTTATAATCTATTATCGCGGAGTAAGTTCTCACGGAGGTAGATTTCGGTAAAAGCTAACGTGCTTTTAAACGCATAGTTCGCCTTCCTTCCAAATATCCTTTTTTTTTTTAAAAAGCTCCGTTGAAACTACAGAGAATCTATAGAGAAACTATAGAGAATCGTATTGATTATTTGATGGAATCGTCGATCGCGAATCGTCTTGTCCGGTTTGTGCGAAACAAAGTAACGCAGGTTCCGATGACCATCGTCCGCCCACGCAACCGCGGTGGTCGTTCTAAAAATATACAGCCCGGTTCTTCGTGCGCGTACGATGCTACCGGTTTTAAATCTCGGCCGCTACCGGACGGCGACCGGTGCTGCATTGCGCAGCGCGATGCCCGTCGAAATAAAACGACGACACGGGGTTGCAAAGGGATTAGGATGATAGAGTTGTTTGCCAATCATTCTCAAAACGCTAAAACTGCAAATCGCTAAGAAGGAGATCGTTAATCGAAACGTTAATCGTTAACGTTGCGTAATGAGCAGTGCCCGTGACAATAACTGGCAATAACTGATTATTACGAGAAGCACGAGAACAATTATTGAGATTTCTATTCGCGATTAATAGATTTGGCAAGATATGATTGCAACGCCGGATTTTAAGTTATAGAATTATCCTGACAATCGGACAAGTTTACGTCAGAATCTTAAGATCATGTGTGTATGTGTGTGTGTGTGTGTGTGTGTGTGTGTGTGTGTGTGTGTGTGTGTGTGTGTGTGTGTGTGTGTGTGTGTGTGTGTGTGTGTGTGTGTGTCGTCGCGCTCTCCTCTCTCTCTCTCTCTCTCTCTCTCTCTCTCTCTCTCTCTCTCTCTCTCTCTCTCGTCGAGATCTCATTGCTACGTGCTACACGCTCCACTGTGTCCCGAAGACTGTGTCGCGCGCGCCAATGGACTGCACTTGCGTCTTCCAAGCGCGGAAACGAGTCTCGCCCTCGCATATCTACTAAAATAAAATATGTATGAAAATTAATGCAGAAAATTAACAAGATGTATTACGCGTTCGAAGAGATGGCGAAAATCACAAAGAAATATATGAAGTGTTTTACGATTTTGCTAAAAAATTCATGACATCCGAAATTGAGATAAAAAGAAAAAAAAACAAAGTTCTGTATATCTCTCTCTATTTATATATATATATATTTAGAAACAAATAATTTTATTAATCACATCTTTTATTGTAATATAAAATTTAAAAATATAATGTGATATCGATATCTCGATGTTTCTTCGTTACGTTATTCGCTACGCGAATATCGGATACGCCGTGGTGTCTGGCGATTGCAAAAACATGATTGCAGTAAATGTTAGCGTTCAAACGGAGCTCACTCGCGGCTTCGGAGGAGACAATGTATTGTCACGCTCCTCGAGCCGCGTTTCCCCACCCCAAAGTAAATCGCCTACCCTCACCATCGGTTTATTTCCTCGTCACGGGTTGCGCGCGCACGCGCCCCCACCGCTCGACCAATCGGCCGCGCGGGCAAAGCGGAGTGAGGGAAGAGCCGGTTGCCGCCGCGAGGCAGAACGTGCGGATCGAGGGGCTGCGAATGCACAGAATCATTACCACGCCAGACCTCGAGGAGAATAGACGTGTTTCTCGTTTATCCTGAGCTCAGTCGAGAGATCTCGTGTTGCCCCGTGTGTTCTCGTCTTCTCTCATTCCTCGCCGCTCCCTGATATTACGCGCGCCGCACCGCACCGAATACACGCGTGTGATACATCGCGCCAAAGAAGACAGTCTCTGCATGGACAGCAGACGCGTGTCGTCGCGAATCCGTAGAATCCGGTTGTGTCGCAGCAATCTCGCCCCCGGAACCCACCACCGCGTGGCGGCTTCGCGCCGAGACTCTCGCGGTCCGCGCGGAATCGTAGGGTGACCACCGACGTCACGCGGTCGACCCTCGAATTTTGTGTTTACTCTGCGAGTGACGTGAAGCAACTTGGTGCAGTCGTCAGCCAGACCGCCACGAGGACGTTGATGAACGCACGCGACCACGCGTACGTTCTCTCCGAAATTGCCTTTCTCTCTTTCTCTCTCGAGAACTCACTTGGGTGCTCCGAATAACAACAGTGCGTCCGAGCGGTCGGTCATCAGCCGCTCAGACGGGACAATTTCTGCGATTCCCTCAACAGAGTTGAGTGATCTTTCTTCTCCTTTTTGTTGTTCGTTTCGAGAGCGAATTCCCCCTGGAGAGAGAGAGAGAGACACAGCGTTATATATACCCCAGCACTCTGCAGGGGTTTATTGCGTGCGCGCGCGCGAACCACGTGCAATCCGGAACGATGAACGTTGAGAGCGTGCGCCGATCTGAAATCTGAAGCGCGATCACGTGCAGCGTTCTTGCCACCTTTACCATTCTACGATCTAGAAACGATTGAGATCAGGTAAAGATCCCAGAGCGAGAGGGGGGTCTTTTGAAGAAAGTGCACGGGAAGAGAGAGAGAGAAAGAGAGAGAGAGAGAGACGTAGACAGTGTGAACAGTGAACTCAACAACAAACATTGCTTGGTTCGGTTGCAGTGTTCGTCGATCCCGAGCTAGGCGGGAGAGGTGACAAATACGTAGCTTGGACTCGAACAATTCGAGCTGCAACTGCCCGCAGTCGGTCCGATCGCAGAGTTAACAAGCCAGAGAAGAGGAGAGAAGCGACACCATGGCGATACCGTTTTTGCCCACCAACAGCGAAGAGAGGACGGAGGAACAGCTGATGTTCCAGCTGTACGTTACCCTGCACAATGCTCTCCGGAGCAGGAACGCCCACCATCCGTCGCGAAATCGTGAGTTGAATATATTTTTAAGATATGTTTACTCTCGAGCCCGAGCGTACGTCAAGCGTCATTTGCGTCAACAATTCGCTAAGAAAAATGATAGAGAGGAATAAGTGACCGATCTCATCGTCACGTGCGATAAAATCATGGCTGAGCGGACAGCTCCAAGTTAGTAAAACGAAATGGAGACAGGCGGTTGCGTTTAGAAAGATAACGTTAGAAAGATGAAGTATGACTGAAACTTGAACGATCTTGTCTCGAAACGGAACAGAGTAAAGGAATAAAATTGCAACCATGTCCGAAAATACATTCAAATTAATTTACATAATTCCGAAAAGCGTATTGATACGGAATAGGTTTTATCATTACGATAATTGGAAAAATGTAATAAATCGGTAGTATGTTTTGAGGGAGTGCAGTGGCAATCATGAAAAAAAAAAAAAATTGCTGCTTTAATGAGAGCGATTACCATGAGGCTAGATATTATGATAAATTATCTTTTCACATGTCGCGATACAATAATGATGAATGGAAATAAAGTGCAGAGTGCACCGTTCCCCTTTTATATATATATATATATATGCGTATTATAAAATGACAAGCAAACATGTGAAAAAAAAACTCGATTATATTTTAGATTGTAAGTAATACAATGAAAATTGTCTAAATAAATTGTCTAAATTGTCAAAAATAAAATAAGATTTTGATTTATTTACAAATAAACAATTTTATAAGTACAAGTAATTTTCATAAATAAAAATTGTAATCTCCTTAGTCGTTGTAAGCAATAAAATTACTGCGATTGAATAAACGCAGCGAATTCAATCAAATATCTCGAATCAGAATTGTGAGGAACAACACGTGGTTGTCACAGAAAACAATTCGGAATAGTGTAAGAAATACATAAGAATCACACGTAACATTTTCATTCTTGTATTTAGAATAATTAATTAATCTCTTACATATTGCAAATTCAAACAGATTAAAAGAAAAGTATCTGTCAATCTGTGGATTGTGAAAATATTAAGTTGCACTCTGTTTATAAAATTAGCATCAAAAATAATTGAAAGCAACTGATACATTCAGCATATCTTTTTTATTAAATAAATAATTCGAAGACAGCTATTAACCGTCATATTTGCAATTATATTTGAAATTTGAATTGTTATAAGCATCTTATTTGGAAGAAATTATCAAATATTGCGGGATTTTCAAATTTTCGTAAGTATTGCACCATATTGACAAATAACATCGATCGAGGTCATTGTCCTGTTGTGAGTCACTGTCGAAACATTTCGTTGGTCCAGTCGCGAGATCTAAACACCTTGATTCTCAATTTCGCACGATGCCTCGGGCGTGCGCCTTTGACGTCATTCCAGAGGTGATTAACAAAAACCACAAAATCACTCCGAGCATTCTTCGCGATAGCAATATCCTGTGATCACTTTTTGGCAAATATTTCATCACGTTGAGGAAAAGGTAGTATTATTGCTGTTTTTTTGTCAATTTAGTATTTAAAATATGTATTCGTACTTAGGAGTTAAAACGATTTGCTAAATTTCTATATTTTATCCATGAGATAGAAAATCTGTAATATATTTGTAATATATCTGTAATATATTTTATAATTCGATTTTAAACATAAATATTTTAAATATTTTCCCGCGTTATTAATATAAATCTGTTTTTCTCTTTAAAATTTTAACAATATCGATACTATCGACAAAAAATTGCGTATTGATGCGTGACAGTCGCTAAAAATAAACACACTACCGTAAATAACACGTTCCCGCATTGGTAATTCTTGTTTAGAAAAGTCTCTTACGGATCTATTTGATCGTATCGCGACGCGACAAATAGGACGTTTCTCGCGGGATCGCGATGGCTCATATTCGGCGCACAGTAAAATCCAACTTTACGAGAGTGCAGCGAGAAGGAGGGGGGGGGAGGGAACGGATTGTATGCGAGTAGAACAGATGTAGTGTGGGTGTAAAGCATCGAGCAAAAGAGAGAGAAAGAGAAGGAGAGTATAGCAGACGATGTCCGGCCATGACCCTGCTCCGTTGGTTGTGCCTTCTTTACAGAGAAAAGAGAGAAGACTAAAAGAGCGAGGAGGATCGGCGATGTGTGAAGAGAGGGACAGAGAGAGAGAGAGAGAGAGAGAGAGGAGGGACGGAGAAGAAGAGAGACG